CATCGGTAGTTTCTTCTACACTGATTTTCTTTGACTTCGAACCAACTCTTGGAAAGCTAAACGACGATAAGGGATGGATGACGGGAGCAGGTGAAACTGTAAGCTTCCAGTCCTGAACCTGCACGTTAGCGGTGACTTTAGTCATCAACGGCATTGTCATAAAGGAACGATCACCAAAGAAGAAATTAAATTTTTGGATACGAGATAAATACTTAGATACGACAATTTCACGTTAATTAAATTAGATTGACGGTTGTTTTAATTACTGAAACTATAATTTATTTGAGGGAATCATTTTAAATTAAACTTATTTTAATGAAATTAAGATTCATTTAATTCCGTCTTTCTTTTATTTTTTAATGCTATTTAATAATAAATATATTTCCTTACATAGCCTCGTTCTGGTAATTTCTCATTTTTTTCCCCTCCATCTGATATAAACCTTTTTCTTCCTCTTCGTCCTGGAGTTTTCTAACATTAAATTCTGATCCCATCACACGCCTACATTCGTCGAGAAGCGAGAATAGTGAATCAGATTTATAACCGGCAAACTTAATTACATTAAATCGTTTGTTTGAGAAACGACGAAGTTTGGCCTTCACGAAAGCGCTATTTAAGATAAAGTAGGAGCCGAGGTCGATGTTGAATATCGTTGTTAGAAAAAAAAAAGACAAGAGAAAAATGCGAAGACAAGAAACTTCTACAGATATATCAAGAAAGAATTCGGAAGAAATATATATATATATATATATATATATATATATATATATATATATATATACAATACAAATACAATTGTAATATAATGATAAGTAGAAGCTTATGAAGCTTTATTAAACAAAGTCGATTTATATCTATTGTAATGAATAGAGTGGAGATGGGGTCTGGTTATTCTATTACCACAATACTGTAAGCTAAAAGTTTAGGACCAACCCCTGTATTTAATAATTTGTTTCATTAATAATTATTGTTTCTTAATAGGTTATTAGCTTTTAGGATGAGGAAAGATGCCTTCCAAAAGTTAAGCAAAGTATGAAGAAAGAAAAAGTTTTCGTTAGAAACAAAGACAAAAATGCTGAACTGCTATGGAGTATCAATGTTTGTCTACGGCAGTGAATTCTGGGTAATCTTATCGTAGATAAAGAGACTGGCGGTTGGTATAGTAAGCCGAAGGGTGCACGTCCCACGCATGGCTCATCAAAATATTACCATGCTCCACAGGTGGCGTCATGCCTTCTTTCGATTAACTCCTACAGTGTAACCCGGATATAAGAGACCCTGATATAAGAGAAACCCGGATATAAGAGAGATTTTATCTGGTCTTAAATTAGAGCCCATACTTACCTAAACAAAATAGACCAAAACCGGATATAAGAGAAACCCGGATATAAGAGACTTCTTCTCCGGTCCCGACAACTCTCTTATATCCGGCCGTATCTTACGTAAGGACAACACCGGTAATCCCTCCATGAAATGGACAGAACGGGCCACGTGAAAGCGTAGCACGTGTGGGAATAACAAGTATAAACAAGGCTAGCGGGAAGCCTTAGTTTCAACAGCCTACAGCCGTTGGGAACAGTTGAGTGCTAATTTCTGTCGAACTATCTGCCTCGAGCAGAGAGGAACTCGAACGAAGCTTTGCCGAAGGGCAAAGTTTCGTCCGTGGAGGTAGACAGTCCCTGAAGCCGTTTATGCGGGTTCTAAGTGAATATTTTTGGCCGAGCCTACTGGCTCGGAGAACCCACGCTAAACTCAGCCTTCAGCCACATACATCCCTCGTTGAGGAGTGGGTTTATTAAATATTAACATCCTACAGCCGTTACTCGAACACTCTACGGGTGTGAAGACGTTAGTTTAAGTTTTAAATCAATACAGAACGTTTTCTTTGCCTAAATTGGCTATTATAGATTTCAGTTTTCAAGACAGATTTCGTAATTGACTTCTTGTTGTCAACATGCTAACCCATTAACGAATGGTTCTCAATTTCTTTTAGAGATGGGTGTTACCTAAATTTTAAAATCCAGCAGACCTTGGGTTGCCATTAGCCAGCAAGGGAGATGTGATAAAAAGCGATAAAGTTTTAAGGAAATGTTACGCAATAATGGAATAATATCGCTGATGTTGTTGTTCTTCTTTTTTTAATAATAATAATAATAATAATAATAATTATTATTATTATTATTATTATTATTATTGTTCATTGAATTTATGATAAAACCCTTCAGGAAATGGACGTCTCTTTGATCCGAACTGAGCTATGAAATTAGTTTTGAAAAAGTCACGAATCAAGTTTCGGAAGAAATCTTCCCAAATTCAAAATGTTTTTTTTTTTAATTCTCTTCACCATTTCTGACCATTTATTAAGAACATTAATACAGTCAGTTCGAAAAAAAATAGGAAAAAGGGTTTTTATTTCATCTTCGTACCGTGACATCCATTAGACATGGCACGTGGGTCTAAAACAGTCTACCCCAGCGAGCGAACTAAAGGGTCCAGTTCG